ATAATTTTACATCAATGCAATCAATTCTTGGAAAATTTCAACCATTACATAGTTAACTTTTAAACTGAAGACAGTTCTTTTCTCTCTCAGTGCTGGGGCCTGAACCCAAGTTTGTGCTTGGATGCACCTCTGTCTTCCATTTCTATTTCTTAAGGTCTATATGCATCATGGGAGCATATATTAAATAACCATGTGTTGTATGACTTTTCTTGGGGAGATGTAACAAACACCTATTTACTCCAGATAGCACACCAGTAACAGACCAAAGGAATGCCACTCAAGGCCAGCTTTCTGAACCAGTGATTTTGTTAGGATTACTTAGAACAACATCTGTGATATATTTTCTGAATCTCCAGAATCTAGTTGGTTTCCTGAGCCTCTTAAATTTCTGTTAGTTTCCTGAGTCTTGTGAGCTCCTTTTGTCCCTCCAGGAGAGAATGTTTCAATTTGGAGAAAAGTGCTACCCAATGCTGTGTAGAATAGGGGCCAATCCGCTGTCTAATTACGTTGATATAAAACCTCGTGCCTTGTATGCAATCCTTCCAGGTAGATGAAGTTGATATAAGGAAACAATTGCTGAATGTCAATTTGAATTATATGTCTGAATTCTCTGCTACAGCACTAACTTGCTAGTTTATTTTTGAGTATTATAGATAATCAGATGGAACACAGAGGTTCTGAATTTATGCAATGTGTACAACTTAATACAGAACCCTAAACTGCATGTATAAAAGTACCCAGATGTTTTATCAATTTATCAAAAGATTTTTACTCTACTATACATTTATAAAATATATAACTTGCTGTATGGGAAAATTATGCCTGGCTATTTTTCCTTAATTATAACACAAAATTAAGGTTGAAGATTGGGAAAGAAAACTATTAAATAAACAAGAAATGTGGGGCCTGACATAAACCTTATATTATATACATGTATTCTCTGAAGTTCTATGTTGTAGTCAACCATCTTTATGTAATTGTGTGCTTTAAATCCATGCTGAAATTAATCAGTAATTGATTAATATATTTCATTTTTCATTTTTAATATTTTTATTTTGTTTTTGTGCATTTTGTATAATACACATTAATCAAATTTAGTCCCCTTCCTCCCTCCCAACTCTGCATGGCCTCCCAACCACCAGATTTCAGGTATTCTATCATGTATGTTAAGTCCTAAACATTTTTATCCAGGTGTCCCTTGGTGCAAGTTCATCCGCTGGAGTCTAATTAGCCTATCTAGAGTCACTCTTTAATAGATTCTAAATTATGTAGAGTCTAGAAAGGACTTTGAGCCAGGGCCAAGTTAATTAATTCCACCCCCTTTATTTTTTTCCTACCCATTCCATGTAGCTCTTATACAGTTTCAGATGACTTCTGATAAAAACAAAATTTTGCATGTGGCTGGTGCCCTCTTGTTCTAGTTTGTCTCTCCATTGCTTTAACAAAACACTCTGACCAATACCCACTTGGGGAGGAAAGGGTTTATTTGGCTTACATATCCTGGGTCACAGTTCATCTGGGAGCCCAAGGTAGGAACTCAGGGCAGGAACCTGGAGGCAGGAGCTGAAGCACAGGCCATGGAGGAACTCTGCTTACTGGCTTGCTCCCTGGCCCCTGCTCAGCCTTCTTTCTTATACAACACAGGCCCAACTGCCCAGGGGTGGCACCACCCACAGCGGGCTGGGCCCTCCCACATCACTCATCAAGAAGATGCCCCTCAGATATGGCCACAGGCCAGTCCAATAGAGGAAATTCCCCAACTGAGGCTCCCTCAACCCAGGTGTGTCAAGTTAACACTAAAGCTATCCAGCACACCTCTGTAGATTCTTTTGTAGTATTGATCCAGGTGGCTCCACGGATCCAAATTCCAGATCTTTAACTTTAGCTAAAAGATGAATAATTTTACTACCTCTGTATGTAGGATAAATTTCAATTCACAAATTAATATGAAATTTTCTTCATGGTCTTCAATTATTCATTCTTTTTAAAATACTGCATTTCTGTGATTTGAAGTGTGTTCATGCAGGTTTAGGTGTAATGACATAATATTTGGCAACTTGTTCCTATTCCACATGCGGTAGTGAAATAATTTCATATGCCATGGATTATGGTATTTTATGACTTCAAGACTTTAATATTTGAAATAGACATTAAAGTCTCTTTCCATCTAGGACATGGAGATACTCTATAATGTTTCTTATTACCTCTCATATTAAATTACATTTGACTCAGTCTATTTTCCTTTGACCTTCTGTTCCCAGCTAACTTTTTTCCAGTTCATAGAGAAAATTAGGTTTGGGAGAATTAATAGACCCAAGTTCAAAGTAGCATTTGTTAAAATGGAACATACTAGAACTTGTTATTGACTAAATGTTGGTGTAAAAGTCAAAATCTTTTGATAAGATTTAATCCTAAATCTTGCATATTTTGATGCAATTAAAGTAAAAATATAAGTATCACAATATTATTAAGTGTGACCAGTAAAACTTGAATGAAATCCAAACTGATGATGAATAAAATTTTATCATAAATATGCAGAAAATGAAAACAGTCCCATGAACATTAAATAGAAATAAAATATAAAGTTATTAAAAATTAAATTAAAGAATTAAAACTATTGGGTTCAATTGGCTCCAGAAAACAAAATTTCCAATGATTTATCAGTAATGGCATAATTTGTCCAAACTTGTCTGGAGTCACTAAATAATACAAAATTCTCATGGACAAAATTTAGAATTGCAGATATTTCCTTGTTCATAAAGGGTTTCAAGAGGACAAGATCAGAATATGTCCTGCACACTACAAAGCAGCATCAATCTGCTGATTTCTCATTCAAGGCTTTGTTCCATCACAGCCAGATTGTATTGCCCCTTTATTTTCCTTAGGATTCCATGAGCACATCATTTTCACAGAAGCATCAAACTGGTCATGTGAACTAGCTGTTACCTCAATTATAGCCCCCAAAATTAAAGAAATGACAAAATGATTCATATATATTGGTAATCTACCCAAGCCAGAAACCCAAGCTGTTCTAACTCCAATTTTAGGACTTTTTACTACACTGCTACCATATCTAGCAAATACCAGTGATCATGTACCTCAAGCTGTGAATCCATCAATGGTTATTCTCTGTTTCTATAACTGGCAATGTTACTGTAACTGCTTGGGTTATTTACTTATTTATATTTACTTATTTATATACGTATGAATATTTTGCCTACAAGTATGTAAGTGCACTATGTGCGTGCAGTACAATACCCACAGGGTTTAGAAGAGGACATCAGATCTCCTGACACTAGAGAATCTCCTAGAACTGGAGTTATGGATGGTTATTAGCTGCCAAATAGTTACTGGGAACTAAATTTGCTTCCTCCACAAGAGCAGCAAGTGCTCTTAACCACTGAGTCATCTTTCTAGCCCCTCACTCATCTGTTTGGAAACTGTCCTGGTTATATTACATAGTTCTTCATGACTCTTCATAACTACAAAGATTTTCCTCTTCTGCTAGGTAACAGGAAAAGCACTGACTGCATCAGGATTCAAAAGAGGTCCCATTTGCAGTATTGTCGCTTAATACTGACATTAACATGCAAGTGGAATTTTACTTCTCTAAGCGATTTTCTTCTCTGTAAAATTAGAATGAACTCATACCTTCTTTTTATTGTACATGGTTGATTTATTAACCAATAGTAATACAAGAATAAGTTTGTAGTGACAAATGGTAATAATGTCAGCATTTTTTTTTTTTTAGCCAAATATCTTTCCTGTACTGTCTGACATATCGTGGTAAAGTGAGAACACAGCTTGTAAAATATAACCTCCCATAAAGAATGTAAGGTCCTGGTGTTTTTGTGACTTATCTGAAAAAGTCACCCTTTCTTCGTTGTGTTTCTCCTAGGACCACTGAGGTTCCTTTCCCAGACAGAATCTATCACAGCCTTCATGGGCGATACAGTACTACTCAAGTGTGAAGTCATTGGGGAACCCATGCCAACAATACACTGGCAGAAAAATCAACAGGACCTTATTCCTGTCCCAGGAGACTCGCGTGTGGTGGTCTTGCCCTCTGGCGCATTGCAGATCAGCCGACTTCAACCAGGCGACATTGGGATCTACCGATGCTCAGCTCGAAATCCAGCCAGCACAAGAACAGGAAATGAAGCAGAAGTCAGGATTTTATCAGGTATTTCAATACACACTGTTTTCTTTCCGATGATAATTGTGTAGAAGAGATCAAGCAACAATATTCCTTGACAAATATTTTGTAAAGATATTATTTAGATGAGGTTTTCATACAGTACTTATTTTTCCATATGTCATTAAAATTTTTTGAGAAACTTGTAAATATCTTTGACCTTGTTTGTTTATTCTTTCATTCATCCATGCTTATTTCAGGCTTCTTTGTGAAAAACCCATTATTGAGTGCTTCTTAGTTTTAATTCATTTTCTTCCGATAACAGTCTAAAAGATCATTGTTTTTCTTGTTTACAAAAATGAAATAAGGATTAGTGGGGTAAAAGGCATTCCTAAATTAATATTGAACAAATATCTACTCATCTATTTTCACAGTGATTTCTGGAAGGCACTGTACTATATACAGCAATTCTCATATTGATTAAGGCTGACACAGCCTGACCTATTTGAATTCTGGGAGAATGTAGGCATACAAGTAACTAAATAAGTGTGATTAATATTAGGATATTGAAACTTGTTGCTTTTCATTTTTTATCTTCTTTTCTCTTCCTGTGGCATATCTGTAAGACTCTGGCTATCTCCTTTTCCCCTCCTAAATAGTCAGAAATTGGAGTGAATGCTTCTAAGATCTCTTCCAATGGCCGCTGTTGTCACATATCTTTCTATTATAGACTCTCACACTTGGTCTCAATTGTGAGGCTTACTTACACTTACTTTTGTGAATCACAGCCAATTGCATTCACTTGAGTAGTCTGAGCAAACTGCTCTTCAAAACATAGACATGGGCTCCCATCAGTGCACTCATATTTGTCTGTAGTTACAACAAATATTTCATCGACAGAGAGTGTAATTCTAAAATAGCAATTCAACTAAAGTTTCCAGGTGCTTGAAAAAAAGGAAACGTTTTTTCTTTTTTTTTACTTTACAGCACAACATTTTTTTTTCATACAGAAGAATTCATTCCAAAGCAATTCCAAAACAATTGACATTGAGACGTTTTCACATGCATTTCTAATCTCTATATACATGACTATCACTGGTCACAGTCGCCCACCTTCTGAGCTCCTCGGCATCTGAGCATGATTACAAACTCATCAGATAGACAGCCTTCCTCTCCCACTAGAGGCTCCATACTCTGCCATCCCTGTCACTGTCCACTGTGCTGTCAGCACCCCCATCCATTCTCCCCTATCTGCCCTTCTGGTAAATCTAGTCAGGAGGATCAGCTGTTCCTTATCATCGGCAATCCATTGTCAGTATTCCTTTGG